CACACACACACACACACACACACACACACACACGCAAACACAGGTATTTACACTCAGAACCACACACAGTTATGTTTTTACAACATGAACAAAAGAGATTAAAAAAAAGGTCTCCGAGGTTTCCGGCCTTCTTTTTCTGTTTTTCTGTTTACATCTTTCAAACATAAGAGTGAAACAAAAAGATCTATGTAAATCATCACTTCTGTAAAGAAACATTTCAAATAATTTTTATGCAGGTTTTAGTTTCAGAAATGTTTAAGTTACATAAAAATGTCAAAATGCTAAATTTATGGACTGTTTTAGATGAGAAAATACAAACACAACACTTATAATATACACACAGCAGAACACATAAACATGACTCACCCCAACAATGACTCATGATATGTAGAAATAAATGAAAACAACCTGCTCAAACACAAAGACTTCATCAAACGAGAGCCAAAAGGTAAAATACTGAGAAAAAAAAAAACAAATGGAGAAGTACAGCGAACACTAGAAAAACTGCAATAAATTTATCATATCAATAATACCAGATAAACATGTATACAAATGATTGCTGCCATAAATGTTGGAGCTTGGTGCTCATCTGTTTGTCTGTTAGCAAAATATATGACGGACCACTGGACAGATTTTATGAAGCTCTGAGGTGAAGTCCTGGACGTACGTCTATAACGAGTCAAAGTTTGGAGTGAATCGACCTTGGCAAACTCAAAAAGGGCTATGACTCAGTCAAGTTTTTCAAAAATGGGCTAAAATGTGGTGTGGTAGTAGCTGAGAGTCATCTCCAACCACTATGTTAGCATGCAGCTGGTGACTGACTGGCATTCCATCTGGGGGAACGCTACTTTTTAATGTTTTGTTTGTTCTTATTACAGTTTTTTTCCTGTCATAAGTTCCAGGAAGATGCACAGAAGCAGATTAGAARGYAGTTTAGCAAAATAAATGAATAAATAAAAACATTTAKGCATCATAGAACATGTCAGATGTATTATCATGGGGTCTCAGGGGGGATTCCCAAAATATTCTGGTACCAAGCAGGACATAAATATCATCAGGAGCCACAGGCTAAACCCTGTGGTGCAGATATAACCACACACACACACAAATACAATGACCCACAAAAATACACAGAGGAGGATCTTGTTTTCCCCCGTCTTTGCTCCGCTCTGCCAGACTATAAATAACCTTAACAATGTCTCAGAAAGGCTGTGTTTGGTGTTGGCATCTGAAGAGACCCCAGGGGTGCTGCGGGGACCACCGCAGGGTGAAAGGTGGTGTGTGGATGGGAGGAATGTGTGCCCATGTGGGCACAAGTGGGAGGGCAGGGAGGAATGAAAAAAAATTAAAAAATGCAACAACTTTATAACAATAAAACAGAGTGAAGAACGTAAATTAACTTGATTTTGCTGAGAAAGTTGCGTCAAAGCGACCATGTTTTTTTTCTTTCGGTCACCTAAAACTCGTTGAGCTCCGTGCCTCTTTCTGAAATAAAATGTTCTGTTCGTGTTTACTCGAGCCTAATGAACAAAACACAAACACAAAGAGGTGAAGAGCACAACATCAGGGTTAAACAAGGCAGCAGAGAGGAGCAGCCAATATGAAGCAATCAYCCATTTCTGTGATCTAATTACTCTTCAAATCAGAACCCAAATACTCTGTGGTTCTGTTTCCTGTTGGAGCAYGGAGGGACTCTGGGCTTTTACGTCTGACTGAATTCATGGCAAACATTTGATGTCTTACGTAGATATTTACAATTATTATCCATTGGACAGTGTTATTTCCCCATATGTAGGACAGTTGACACAATTTACCCCWAAAGTACAAACTAAAACTCCCCATGACAAACACCTGCACGATAACAGATAATGTTCTAATGGCTTATTATTATGCTCAAAGATGCTTCTTAAACATTAAAAGAAAAGAATTGGAATAGACTCCCCTGAGAAAATAGGAATCTGAGGTTTAATTTACAGATTATTTAAAAAAAGATTAAAAGAATTGGCAACTGAAACTCAACAACTACATTTTCCTCCACAAGAATTTGTGACATTTTGCTGATTGGAAACAAAGAAATCCAGCTTTTTTCTAAAGAACAAGCAATCAAGCAAACAAAAAAAAAAAAGACTCATTTTGTTTCTTTGCTTGGACTGACTGCTGTCACACATAAACACCTATAGTTACAGGAGTTACTGTTGCTTTTCAAAGGCTGTCAAGCTGAAAACACAGCTGAGTCATTTGAAACTGTGGATACAGAGCAGTGTGTTCTGTCTTCAGTGAGTAAAGAAAAAAGAGAAAGACAGATGGAGTGGGGATGGTTGGGGGGGTTCCCCCAAAAGATGAGAACGCTCTACTGTCCTGAGCTGGTCGTCTCTATTAGATTACACACACAAACACACATCRGAACATGGTGTAACAATGCTAGGAATGCCACTTTCATTTTGCTGGCCAGGTTTCTGTGGCAACCCCAGGAAAGAGGCTGTGCGGTCACAGGACAACAGTTTAGTCTCACAGAAAGTTGACAGCAGCTCTGCAAAACTGAAGTCAGCCCACACTCAGACCAGCCGATTCTGGTTCACGCCGACTGAAAAACACAGAGAGTCACGGCTCTTTTGTTCTCTATGGTAGAGTGGTCACATGACAAAGTTACTGTTGAGCTGGATCTCGTTATGATGAGAACGACTCCTTGTCAAAATGAGAAAACRATCTCATTACGACTTTATGGTATGACAGAGCTGCACGACAGATCGTTTGAACATCATCATCGCAGTGTACRTGAGCACTATAGTCACATTGCAGGTCCTGCAATGTAGGAGGCAAATTAGATCAACGTCTTATTGAAAAACTAAACCACTAAACCATAAGTCATTGCACTAAAYGGTTGCGTGTGTTTTGGTTATTTTGTAATTTGTCGCCATGTCAGCTTTTTAAATATTTTTTTCTATTTTTATCAACTTTCTCAATGTTTGAACTTGTGCATTTGGCTCTAACTGTATCGTTACCTTACAATTACAGGTAGGAGACGAACGTGAGCGCCACAGAACTTGCTGGGATCCTGGGCTTTATACAGCACACAAAGTCCTCAAAGTGGGGCTTAAAACCAGTTAACATTTAGGGTCTATCCTACCACAGTGGATCAGTGACATTAGCCRACACAAAAGAAAATTTTGGTGTGGTAATAGTTGAGAGTTGCTCTCAACACGTACTCTGAGGGAGACATCTYAATATTACGAGATTGAACTTTGAGGTTTGACCTAAATGTCATACTCTCACCATGAAACGAAAAAAAAAAGTATCTCATAGAGGACATTTGTAGTTATTTCCTCCATATTTTTCATATAACAGAAAGGGAATCAGTCTCAGAAGCAGAGAGAATATGGTTGAATTTGATTGAAGTAGAACAGGAAAATTCTGCATTAATGAGCAAATGGTTCCATTTGCAGGTCAATACCCAGTTTGCCAGTATGAACCTGGCAAACCATACCCAACTGGATGGAAGGCGTTTGTCTTGGCAGCACCAACTGGTCTGGTCTCAGACTTTGTGGTCTACCAARGCAAGAGTTCAGAGCAACAGGAAGAAAGGGCACTGAAGAACAAACTGTTCTTCATTTGGAAGAGTYTGTTCCCCAAAAAACCCACCTGTTTTTGATGTGTTGTTTCAGGATAGCCTCTTGCTCTCAGAAATGGACAGTGTGTGCAGTTTTCCACTTCTTTGATTTGGCAATCACCAATTCAAGTCTTCAGTATAAGAGTGACTGCCAGTTTCTGAGGGCGAATCCACTGAAGTTGCTTGACTTCAACCTTCTCCTTTGTAAAAACTTGATTTCTCAGATCTAATTGAGAATTGCTTTTTGGAAGTTTTATATCACGAGTACAAAAAAAGCAAAACAAAACCAAATCAAACAAAAGTGATGATGGACAAATGGTATTTTCTTTGGAACTAACTGACTGGAATCAAGGTTCAGTTTCACCTGTATGATGTGCCGATGTGCACAGTAATGGATACATATACAGTATATAATTTTGAAATTTGGACAATATTTTTTTCTGTAGTCAGGAGGCTTCAGCTGTGACTAAGGTCATTTTTATGTAAAACAAACACTAAAAATCTCAGCACTACCATGGATTTAAAAGTTTATTTTACAAGCCGGTGCTTGAATCTCATATTTTAGGTTCATTAGAGAGGCAAGGATGTGTCATATGTCTTTTAAGAACGTTATTTTTTAAAGCAACAACAAACAAAGAATGACTCATGCACATTTCATGAGTGAAATCAGATAAGCTTCATTTTCCCAACACTCTACAGGAATGTTGCAGCTTCAGCGGAGTCTGTTTGGGTAATTCAATCGACCCCAAAAACAGCCAAAAGACGATGG